TTACAATAATATGACACACAATTTTTTTTTTTAAATAACTGAAAAAGTATTTTAATAGAAGTATAAAACATATATTAATTGAAAATAAATACCGCTACCTTAATATATATATAATATAATAATAATAATATATATAATTTAGTACTTTATAAAAATTTACTTGTTCGTACGCAAGCTTTTTTCAATACAGGAAATTTTTTTTGAATATTTTATGTTATTTCTAGTAAATAAATATTGTTTAAACACTCTGAAATACTTTTATACTTAAAATTTGTGTTTTATACAAAATGTACTATTTGTACTACATACCACGTTTTGATTTAGTGTGCGTGTGTGAATGCCCAAGTTTAGACCATAAAAGGCGGAGAGAACGAAATACAATATGTGTTTATTGCGTTGTTACGTTGTTCTGAGAGAGCTTAGCTGGGTCTGAATAAATTATTCTGCTAAAAGTTTAATAATTATACGATTATATTGTTACAATAGTAAATGTAGTTCAAAGCAAGCAATCTGGATTAGCGGCTTCAACGCAGTTGCTAATATAATATTTGAGGTCCAATTTTAATATTGAGGAGCCTAACGCCAAAATACTCTGGACCTTGAATTATTGTAAACTTGTCATACCAAGTATTATAATATTAAACACTTAGTACGCTAACGAAATACGTGATGCGTTAAACTGGGTTCGTTACTTTAATTTTTTTAACCAATACTTATTATTCTGGAATTTATTTTAAAATGTTTGAGTTTATTTAAAAAGAACTATTGGCGTATGTTGGAGTAATTATAGTTATTAATTTTTAGCGAGTCGTCTGTTTGCCTTTATAAATAGTTTTTAATTAGTGTATATACGTTAGTGAGTTATTTTTCAAAGAATTAACTTCACAGCGACTATTAAAAAGAATAATTAATTACTATTCAAACCATCTGAACGTTTTGTAACAAAATTTACACGTGTTTACAGGATCAAAAAAAAAAAAAAAAAACTGACCAAAAAAAATTAAAGTTGTTTGATTTTTTTTTTTTAGTAAAAATGTTATTTGAAAGAAAATATATTTTAATAAAATTGTTTTTTCCGATACAAGCACATTGCGTCTAAAAGAAGAGTATAAGGAGATGTATTTACGAGTATGTATTGAGACCAAATTAATCCAAATTCTAGGTTTAGTTGAGTTAGAAATGTTGAGACATATTTTTCTGGCTTGGCGTTAGGTTAGTTGTTTTGTTAAAAATTAACGAAAACCCATCAAAACGTTTTAGAATAGATGTCCAATGAGAAATTCTGCAGCACATTGTTCCGGTTGGGGTGAAACACTAAAAATGAAAACAAAAATCATTTTGTTTCTTTGCGCAGCGGGTTTCTGGACTTTTTTGTTGTTGTTCTGTTTTGTTTTTCGCCATTAATATTTTGCTTTTCACTTGCCGCTCATAAATTTATCCAAATGTAGAGCCGGTGCGTAAATCTGGTTAGGAATATTATTATTATGAAGTTTTAATGGAACTCTTCCGGCACCCGAGAGTGTAAATTAATCTCAGTTGACGCACGACGAAAATACATATACATTAATGTATGGTGCGTCAGGTAAAAAAAAAAACACACACACACACACACATACATCGGCCGGGTAATAAATATCAATTCCGATGGTCGAAAACTGGCGATGGCGTTAGCCGGACGATATGAAAAAAACCGTTCTATAATAAAAAATGCATTGCGATAATTCCACGTATGGATTCTTTTACGCATGTGTGAATCCGTCACTGCAAAATAAAGGGTCCCAATCGTGCGAGCACGGATTTCCGGCAAATTTCATAACCGTATGCGCTACTCGACGGGAGTAATCAGTAAAATAGGACTCTAGGGTGAATTATCAACCCACCGATCCATAAACTACTCCATACCCGTTACTCCCTATCTATATCTACTATCATATGATGTTATGTTAGGTCGTATACTAGAAACAAAAAATTCATTTTTGACATAAATTTTCATGAATTTTTGTCGATGAGAACATAGATAGAAGGACAATTCAGTTGTAATTAAATGTACCTAGTTATTTATACATTACTAGCTAATCTTGAACGGGATTATCCGTGATACATTTAATAATGTGTGTTGATTTATCCCGATAGGTGTGAACTTAAACTATGGAGATTTTTAACACTCTCATTAAAATGGTTTTAAATTTTAACTAAATATAGAGTACAAGTCTTAAATTATATACAATAATAATAAATATTTTATTTTCTGTAATTAATGGGAAATATATTAACGAAAAAATATTCGTTTTTTACAAGCCAACAATCCCTGTATGAACCCCTTTTTATTATGAGAATTTTATAAAATTCTTTCTTAATGTTAAAAAAAAAATTAATAAATTCTTTCAAAAATTCAAAATTGAATCAGTTCGATAATTTTGACTGCACATTGATAACGATTCAGTCAGTCAAGACATGATAAAAAATTCATAAATCGCGATTTGTAAATAACGAAAACAATATAAATATAGATAAAAAACAATAATAGATATTATAATATTATATTTATTCACTTTATGATTGCTTACTGCCCATAATTGATTTTGTATAATATTCTATGAAAAAATCATAAGCCTTTTTTATGCTTACATTATACAGATAAACACATAAACATAAGCAATTAAAAAAGTTAAAATATATTGTCACACGATTGGATAAATTCGTATTAAACTATTTACGGTAAAGTCTTAGGTATACTTCTGTCAAATGCATACAATATACAAAAATAAAATATTAATGTTGTAGATTTTGCACTACACAAAATACGATGTACCTACACATCATTTTGAGGGCTCCTAACTCCAAAAATGACGAGAAACGCTGCCGTATAATAATGTACTTATTTCAGTCGAGGTGGTACTTTGTGTCCGACTAAAATATTTTGAACCTAAAATTTAGAAATAAACAAAAAAACAAGTGTCTCGCGTTAAAAGAATAAAAAGTCATATCGTATACACTATAGATACAATAGCCTACCGGATACCTCGTATATATACATATATATGCTGTATAACTGTTATAAGTCGTAGTAGAAGTAATGGTATATAATATACTCGTATAGCGGCCGAGATAAAATATATGATTTTGTTAAGGGGGTTGTTTATTCTGTTTGGTGGGTTATTTCTCCTTCTCCTCATCTGCCGCTCGCTCGCGATGTAAATAGGAAGCAATAAAGATCGACCCGAGACCGCCCGATTTCGGCCATAAATATTGTGTAAATCTAGGTGCTTATTATTAGTGGGAATAGCGGACGCGCGCGAGCTAATATATTATCTTTGCCCGCGCGGGGGGGCTGACGACTTTTGCGCCCAACCGCGGTCGACTTTTCTCAGCGCTTTCAAAAAAAAAAAAAAAAAATGAAATAATAATAAAAATCGTCTGTCTTCTAGTTTTCGTAATCTGGTTGCGTATATAACGATGTATTATTATTATTTGTTTTATGATATATGTCTGCCATATGATATTAGCTGATATACACACGAGAAACGTTCGATCTTCGATAACGATGTAAAAACAATGTATTATTTATAATAGTATGAACACGTGATGAATTACGAGTCCGGATTAGTGTTTCAAAAGTTCTTCTTAGTTGTTAACGACATTTCTATAATCAGTTTGTTTTGATTTGAATGCTGCTTAACTATATTATTTTGTTGTTCGTACTGATTAATTGACAGCAACTGCAGACTGTAGAAATAATTATTTTAGGTTTGTAAAGCAATCAAGATTATAACGTTTATAGTACGCTCATTACGGATCATATAGGATATTTCAGAAGCACTTATTTAAAACTGGTTAAACGCGATAATATTTCCAATCCCAATGTACGTCTTAGTAATAATTATAATTTTAATGATTTCTGGCGCTATATAAGAAATAATCGTTTTAAAATTTAAAAAAATTCGCTAACTCAACTTTGCAAATATTATGTAATGTTTCGTTGTTTAAATAATATTTTACGTATGTTTAATATTTTTCTGTTAATAGTTAAAAAAAAAAAAACAGGGAATAATTTTATTATACAGACTATATTTGAAAATCCATAAATTTGACATTCCAGCATCCAACTTAACTATTCTATATAATGTTCATAAAGTCGGTCGCAGGTTGAGTCGACTATACACATTGGTTTACTCGCCCCGTCTGGGCTCGTTCCATTACATGCATACGAACAAACCGATACATACACCATAACATTATTGTTATACGATGTCGCCAAAAACTGAAAAAAAAAGGCTATGTAACTAAGACCTACTGTCTATAAATTTCACTACAGACTGTTTTATCGCGTATTTCGTAAACATTTTTATTACGACTGCGATTATAAATAAAGTTTTGCGTACAATATACAATACATAGTATACGTACCTACAATATACATCTTTAATTTTTTTAATAATGTGATGGTGTGCACAATAATAACGTATTATATTGTATAGGTACTCTAAGACGTGCATAATATTTCGTTGAAATTATTGAAGTGTGTATCACTGAGTCTTATCACAGACTGTGATATGACACTAAGAATATTTTGGAAATATTTACCTACTTCTTAGGACTATTTCTTAAAAAAAAAAATCTACGAATACGACTGTAGTATAGATACTAGTTAAGGAAACTATATTTTATTTCACAATAATTTAAAATTTAATCTTAACATTGATAGCTGATATTTAATTGTATAGGAACTTGAATTAAATTTGGAATTATATTTTGTGTTATATATTTATTGAATTACTAAAAGTCTTTTTATTAGAAAGAAATATTTTGGTACATAAATTAAATTAAATATTCAAATATAATATGAAAAATCTAAATGAAAATTGTAATTTTAACTCTAAATTCGCAGTGTTGGAAATATTTCAGAGAATCTTCGCATGGCTATGTTTTACAGTATAATAATAATTATCACCTAATGATATTATATTATTGATTTTAATTATAACGATATTTTGTTTCAGCTGAACTTGGAGATTTCGATCCTAGGCGACATACCCCCGGGTACGTTTCTGAATTTCGTTTCGTGTCCAATCAGAACGCAGAGCTCGAGAACCGAATCGGAGAAATACACAAAGAACTCACGTAAGTGCAGTGCGCCATAATAAACGTTACTTTGCGCTCGCTGTGCACGTTTACCTATTGCGTTCTATTTTATTTTTACTTTTTATGATTACTTAACGACAGCCACTTTGCAGGGGTCAAGTACCTGCAGTCGCCGAGCTGAATTTCTTGGATAAAGTCAAGTGGCTGGACATGTACGGCGTCGATCTTCACCCAGTACTGGTGAGTGCAGTTTAATATATTTCCTTCACGTACCACGAGGGTTATAGGCACGCAGTATTTAAATAAAAACTCTGCAAAGTAGGTACCCATAACGTAAGACGAGAAAAACAATTATTTTTCATACGACTCTCCCTAGCACGGCGTGATATTCATAAATGTGTTGTATACCGACGTATTATGCATCGCCTTGCTTCACCACACGAGTGGTGAATACCGTTGCAGCGTAATTGTCGTAATATTATATAATACATAATGTGTTCTCTCGAAACGCCATAATTATTGCGGTTTACGAGTTTTTGTAGCGTTTAACACGCGCGTAGGTACCTGTCCATTTTATCTAAAACATTTGAAACAACAGACATTATTATATTAACCCATGCAATTTTTCAATGATTTATGTCAAGGATAAATGATGTCGTATGAAAATTGTTATGCGCAGAAGATCTAGCAATCGGAAAATCTACGATTTATTTTCATTTTATAATACACGTGGACAATATTACCGATTTATGAGATCCTTAAATACACCGGTGTCCGGTAATGTAAATTACCGTATAGGTTCGTTAGTTTATGATAAATTATTATAACAGCCCACGCAAGAATGATTTATGTAATGAATCATTTAAACTGACCAGTAAATATAAAATCACGGCATGCGGCCTTCAGGTGATGGTACTTATCACCGAGTACAGTTAAAAAAAATGGAATAACCAGCGTACATAATACATAATATAAAATAGAAGTTGTCTTATAACATTCAATAAAAAAATAATTAATTTAATAGCGGAAATCGGTGCATATACATATTATGAATACATTAAGCTTAAATTTATCTATTCAAGGTATAAGGGTGGTACGTGTGGCACACATCATTTTTTGATTGTTTTCAAATTTTACGTGAAATTTTTACCGTAGAATGCTAAGTATAATAATTTAATTACAAGTATATAAACATATTATGAAACATTGAAAATATAAAAATTTAAATTTAACCAATAACTACTATGAGCCGTTTTAAATAATGTATGCTCACGGATGTGTATGCTTTTACGTAGACCCCCGTCTAACGGCTATTACAATAATTCTATGCTGACACAGCGGGCGCACTGATATTCGGGGTAGGTTCAATCATTACATTGTAATATATTACGTATATGCAGCCAGCCTATAATGCTTCAATTATTTCCTCGAGAGCTTTTATGGGGCATGTTATTTATTTTTTACGGTAGATACTAGCGTGGTGATGTTTAGGCCTTTGAACTTAAACAACCCTATTTTTTCCCCGTTTCCGAACAAATTATAGAATTAAACCTGCGCTTCAGCAAATCGATTTTCATCCGAGCATTAATTCTCTTACTCGCACCGCCGTCAACCGTTTAGCTGCAGCTCTGGTTCACGTCTATAAAAACGTAATTGAAATAAATGTTTTTATTTAATTTAGTTTTTTACTATCTATGCGAATTTAGTTTTTTGTTCCTGTTTCGCGCGCGCGTGTGCGCAAATAAATTTGCGTATTGGTAACGATGTTGTTATTATTCGGTACTGAAATGCTTGCTTCCCACGCGCATACATACTACACATACACACACACACACAATGTCGTTTCGGCATAATATTTATGGCGGTTGTCATTCAGTGGCCGTTTAATTTATATCAACAATCGCGCACAATACATAAATAATTCTCGTTTGTCACAACTGTACAGGTACACACAAATTTGCCGGACAGCCGTGCACAGCTTACACAACAATTATATCAGTATAATATTATTAAAAACGTTTCCATACCGACTTCAACGATACTAAACGTTAAATACGTCCACGACAACACTGTCCCACGCGCTGTCCTTGCTGATACACTCGTGAATACCGAATGATTCATCAAGAATGATACTAATACCCATATTTTTCTTTGATGATTAATTTATTCAAATTTTTAATTTTTGAGTATTTTTTTAAATTTACTAATTAAGGATTTTCTTTTGCAGTAAGCGATAGGCATCAACTTTTTTTTTTTTTTTAAATGAAAACACCTACTTTTTATTTTGTCTAATAGATGATTATTTTTGCAAATGTTGACGTATTTAAATTGAACTCTGAAAGAGTAGTTTTTAAATAATTTAATTGTATCTACTAAAAATGGTAATACGTATCAATTATATTGAGGCTATTCTTAATTTTAATTAAAGTAATTTATATTAATCTATGATTTTTAAACATTTTTCGAGTTAATAAGTTCTAGATCCAATATCACATACATTTTATATTTTCGTAAAAACTTTTTTTAAGAACTATTATCCTTAGTATATTATTAAACATTTTCATAACCTAGAAACTACTCGTTAGAGTTTTAAATTTTGACATTTTCTAAAAAATTATAATATGCTTAACATTATATTGTTAAAAAGTTTGATTCTAATTTAAAATTTAAATATAACAAAGTAGGGGTTGTATTTATCAATAGGAAAATATTTGAATGTTATAAAAGTTTTAATATTAAAAATATGGCCAGGAAAAATGGGAGTGGATATGCTTAGTTGATCACTCTGTATATCATTATACTATGTGTGTGTGTGTGTGTGTGTGTGTGTGTGTGTGTGTGTGTGTGTGT